CCAGATGGCCTGAGTGTGAAATTGCAATCTCCATTTTCCACTTATTAACAGAGTGTAATGGTTACCAATGTGAAAGATCTGGATTGCCTGAGTACATCAAGAACTGTATGGACGACTTTGAAAGTGTGAACGATATTATGAACGTTTTTTAATCGAATTGGTATGTTAAACTATACATAAATAGTAGTAAATTCTTTTTCAAGTTTGCAACAGTAAAATGTAACTAAAGTCGCTAATGACCCAGTCTATGCGACTATAAATAAATGAAAAAATAGTTCTCCACAAATTATTGTTTAAATATTAAACTTTTTTTAAATATTAGTGTTTTAGTGTAATTTTACAGGAAATATCAATATCATAGAGAAGATTTTATCAAAAATATCTTCAAACTTTTCCTTTGAGTTTAAATCGATACAGCTATACGCAGTGAATAATATGACAAAAACACCATTTTCATCTAACCCATTGATTTATTAAATCTAACCTTTTGATTTATTAAAATGCTACATAAATTATTTTTTAAATACCTCACGTCATTATTATTTACACAATATACGTTCTTTTTTAAAATTAATTCTCAGTAAAAGAGCATTAAATAAATCCTAATAAGATCCTAGAAAACTCAAAACATTTCTTTCAACATGACATCAAAGTTCCCAAGTTTCAGTAACGCTCAAACGCCTTTTTAAACCGCCCCACATTTTTCAATTAAATTTGCATATAAAAACACGTGGTACTCATCTACGATAATTTTGACGTATTATTAGTATTTTATTAAGGAGACTGAGAAAGTGTGAAAATATAATTTTAATTTTTCCTCAATATGCAAACTATATCACTAAATATAACCATTGTGTTTCTTGTTACTTACTATAAATATTATATTCTACATAATTTTGTGTGTGAATGATTTTTTAAAAATTTTGTTCTGTTACGTCATCTGCGAGCGTATGCAAATACGTCGTTAGCGTATGTTTGCCTTAATTCCAATGAAAACAGGGGAGCCTCTAGCCCCTGCCCCGCATGGCTGAGAAATGCAACGGAAACTGGTCCCGCGATCTCAACCACCAACAGAGTAGCGCCCTTCGGAAGTCAAATACACAGACTCCCGTAGCCTTTGTATATGTGTAATGTTATATTAAGTGAAAAAATAACATTACGAACTTTTGGAATAACTAATATCGTTCTCGTGCGAAAATTATCATTACAATTATTGTGAATATTAATAATAAGCTTTACATGTAAACAAATACAATTATGGGACGAAACATTTTTCTCTTCAACGCTAAGCTTGGACTAAAATGTAAAAATGAATAAGTGAGTTGCGGGTGCATCTTTCACGCATTTAATATATTCGTAGCGCGCTGCTGCGCGCCGCAGCGAAACACACAACACACACACCGATTATATATATATATTATATAAATATATATATATATATATATATATATATATATATACATTTTATCTTTCAGCGCGCCTCCATAGAATCCTAAGTTAAACATCAAGTGTTCAAATTTTTAGGAGCATCTCATCTTGACGATGTCGGGTATCTCTTCGCCACGCCGTTCTTCAAGGTCCCGGAAGTTGCACCCGATTCATTCGAAGCAATAACACGAAAGAGGATGGTAAAATTGTGGACGGATTTCGCCAAAACAGGGTAAGGAACTTTAAGAACAAAAAATTTCAACTTCTAATAATAAAATAGCCGATGTAAATAGCTAATAAAATAGATATGCCTACTACTTACGGCTGAGGTTGTGGGTTCAAATTCTGCTTAAGATACGGAAGTGAAACACTGCAATTGTAATAAAGGCCAAGGCCACTAGGCGTCACATAAATCCATCTAAATTATCTTTCTTAATTTTGTAATTGCCCAGAAGAACTTAGTAGTTACACCACTTTTCTCACATTTGATCGTGACTTATGAACATCCCGCCAGGCATAAGGAAGAAAAATAATTATCTTTCTGATAAAATTTTGTCGTTACATCGTAGAAAGACGAAGCCATGAAATGCTTCAGAAGAAACTGCCAATTTTTCGACAAAAACGCATTTTAATGTGGTTAGCTGGACCCTTCGCCTGTCAAAATCTCAAGCCCCTATACCTGAATTTTCAAATTGATATTCTTCCAAAGATTTGGCTGATATCCAGTCCCTCGAATTTGATACTGGTGTTTTTAATTTTGGAGAGTATTTTACCTGCAGCCCCTACGTCATTTTCAAAGTTTTCTCAGAATTATTTAATTAAATAATTTTTAATTAAATAATTTACTCGTATAGAGTAGAGTACACTAGAAAGTTCGGATGTATCAATGAAAAAAAGAGTAGGCATTCTATATGAATTTTCTGAATTGATCTGAATTTTCAAAATTGCAAAACTTAAAAAGCTTCTCCTCCTACTGCTTCACATATATTTAACTAAGATTTTTTTAAAATGAAAAATGTTCAATATTATAACTTTAAATAACATCAGTATTTTTTTTCTAAATAAGTATTTTTGGGCAACTTTGAGCGAAATAGTGACATTTTTAAGATGTATTTTCTGAGAAACGGAACTATTTTCTGAAGTGAAACGTATTTTCTGAAAAATGGCTACAATTTTTTAACCCTATTTGGGCAATATCGTCTTAATAATATGGCGTAGATCCCACTTGCATTAAAATCTCTAATTTTTGAATGTATCAAATACTGAACGTTCTTTTTGATGCGTCGGCAGAGTTCGAATGCAAAGCCGATCTGAGGAAAATTCGGTTATTGACAGAAGATATGAGCCAAGATTTGAATCCCAACAGAGCAAGCGTTATTTATGGATTGGAAACACTTTTTCGGGTTCCACTAGCACTAGAAAAGTACGCAACCGCTACAAAGAGTACGAGAAATTGTTTTGTTGTAGAACTAGTAGTTACCTTTTGGTATATTCACATTGAAGGTGAAGTGGTAATAAACCTTCTCGTGTTTTTATTTGTCTTCATTTTTAAGTTAGCCTACAGTCATAATACAGACAATAAAATTATGCAATATTTTATAAAAATATTGGTCTTTTTTCAGAAATCCAACACCGGATCTTGATTCCTTGATTGGTGTTAAGTGGCCTGCATATAAAACGCCGGAAAGGATGTACCTGAATATTAACGATACGGTTAGCATTGGTACGTCGTTCAACCGAAACAGACTGCTTTTTTGGAGCGGTTTGTGAAAGTTGCGATTTTGAGGATCTTGAAAATTCTTGTAAAATTTGGAAATCGTCGCGAAACTGCGAAAAAAAAATTGTAAATTAATTTTCTTAAATTATTTTGGTACCAGTTGTACTCGAATGCCAACTGCGTAGATGTTTAAATCATTCTAATGAAAGTTTAATTATCTCTCTAGTTGCTCTTTGAAATGTATACAAAATTACAATGAAAATAAATCATCGATAATTTGAATACCTTTTTGTTCACTTGTCTCACTCACACTTTCAATTCTTGTGCATTTCTCTCCTTCCCTCTAGACGTTTCTCTCCGGCTCTCTCATTGTTTAGCGACCTCATTTAGTTTCTCCCTTTTTAGAGTTTTTGGGGCTACATCATATCCCTCCTTTTACTGTGTCCCCTTATGCAGATGGCTCCACACCGTGGCCACATAATAATCGCCGTGTTTTCGTCGGAGATGATCGTTGGCGAATTATATCCAAAGCTATCCGCAAACGCAAATAACAGTAAAATCGTTCGTGAATAAACATGGATGAGGGTGCTGCTGTAGAGTATATTTTGTAGGAGCTCCACTATTGATTACCTGCGGGCTTCCATTCCGCAAGTCCCAATAAGCAAAACTGCTTTGAATATTACATAACATTGTCTGCTTCTTATATAAAAGCTAATCAAATTACGTACTTAAAAACTACAGATAATTTCCACAAATACTAGATAAAAACTATTATTGTTCTATACGTTTCCTTAGCTTCAACTATTCTGTAAGTAGCCTTCTGATATATGGCGTTCGTGGGAAGAACTGATTTTATTTCCTCATATACGTACATATATTCGGAATAATACACATCGTCAAAGAAAGTTACGTAATGCAGCGGAAAATCAACTTCACGATCTGTGCACGTTTTCATGTCTCTAGATATAAAAAAAGTGTTGTTTTTTCTTTGAAAACGTTTTTCTATTCATCAGTTCGTCCGTCTGTAACAACACTAACGTCTCGTAGAATTTTTTCAAAATTAATATTATTTGGTCGACCGAGTTCGACGATTTTGAAAAATAATCATGCAATATTGCGGGTACTTTATGTCGTGCTTCTGGGACATTTTACAAATTCTCTCAACAATGGCTCCAAAGTTTGTATTTAATATTTTTTGTAAGAATAGAGTAAAATCCACTTATAAAGATGGCAAACGGTAAGTCTAATTTTCAGTGTTAAACCTCTTTCACGTCATTAATACTTACATTACCGTCAATTTGTATACAATATTTTATTTTTGAGTGAATGTGCTTCAAATGATGTCTCATATAGTTTCTTGACAACTCAAAAGATTTCTGTAAAAAAGGTGTGCAAATTCCCGCAATTTCAGAAACTATCTAAAGGCTTCCATTTTCTCCAAAAACGACTCCAATATTTTTCTATGGATACTGCTTAACGAACTGTATAAGATGACATACACGCCATATTTTTTTATTTCAATTCTTTTGTTTTTTCAAAAACTCCACAAAAGCATTTTTTACATTTTTTCACGTCACTAGTAGTTACAATAGGAGCATTTCTTATACATTAACGCATTTTTTAATATAATTGCTTCATCTTATAGCCTAATGTTTCTCAGAAAAGAGAGGTTGTGTGTGAAAATGATATTCAAAATACCCATTTTCAGAAACGCTCAAACGACATTTTCTTAAAAAAGACTCCTTTTTTTCATGAAAATGTAGATTCAGGATCAGATTTTACGTTTAAAATATAGCACATCTTTTTTTTTAAGTTTACGATGTTTGCATTTTTTCAACGGTTTTTATTGAAATTGGCCTCGCTGAACTCGAAAATAATATTAGTTTTCCTTAATTATGTCTAGTTTTTGTGCAATGGATTCTATGACTACTACGCTTACTGTTCTTATAATTTTCTGCCTATAGAGGGTCAATAACTTGGTAAGACGTGACCACAACAGCATATAATACTTGTATGAAGATAACTATAAAGTGAATTAAACACAACATAGTTTCAGCGCAACTTTTGATAATACAAAATTATATTTTTTTAAAATATTTAGAATAATTTGTATCCTCGTACTTACTTTATGAATGCGTCTCTCGTGAGTAATAAATGCGAATGATGGAAATATATATAGCTATTCCACCTTTCCTTTATTATATTTTAAAGATATTTTCCAGAAGTCAATTTATTTTATAGAAAAGATTACTTAACCGTCTTTCGTTTATGTAAGGCTCCAAGTTCATATATTTTTAGAAACCAAGAAAAGTCAGCCGTCATACCTGTATTCATGTCCCAGTGACCTGGATACCTCTCTACCTCTGAAATATAAAATAAACTTTCTTGACATTAATTACCTTGTAATTTCGTCTTGCAAAAGTAGAAATATAATTAATGATAATTTCCTTTTCTCCACACTATAGGTATAACAAAGAGTAATTGCCTTTATGATACTCTTGTCCCATCGTCTAAACATATTTAAGAAATTTTCAGCACCATAGTTGTGGAACAAGAGTCGTTTCCGGATCTCTTAATTTCATATCAAAATAATCGTAATAGCTGGCCTTCACAAATGCTGTATATTTCACAATGTTTCACAATGTTGGATCTTTTCCCTGGCAACCTCACATTACTACATATGTAGAAAAACATATTTGGGTAATGTTTACATTTTATATAGATGTTAATTGACTAAGATTAGTTATTGGTATTGTGGTGAATTTTCGTTGGCACATCCAATTAAATAATTATACAAGTCGTCATTGCCAACAAAATCATTTATTAAAATAGCAGCTTTCGATGGCTTAGCCATCATCATCAGTTTTCTGTTGTATGGAAGCCACAAAAACGACTACGTTAGTTGTCTTTAACATGTACTGTACTCAAGTAATCATAATAATCTGTCGAAAAAAGAAATAATCAAATTCTTACCAAACGAGAAGATATTGTCAACGAACTTTGAAATAACTTTGTCATGAAATCTAGCTCACTGAACTATTTCGAAGAGTTCAGTAAGAATAAAACAGAACAAGAAAAAGATCATTCATTCACGAATGCAGGTTGTGACCAAGTGCACGAATACCTTAATACGCTCATAACTATGAATGAGCTGTGTTACTGTGTTATACCCTGAAAGCCTCTAATAACTCTGCCCCCGTTCCTGGTAATATACTGAATATACTTCTCAAAAAGCTCAACTGAAGCGAAAATAACAATGCTCAAAATATACAATCACATATGGATGGAACAAACCCCAAAAAATGAAAAGAAAAAAAAAAGATGTTATCCCTATTCTGAAATCTGGAAAGGACCCAACTAAAAGTGGTAACTACATGCCCATATCCTTTATCTGCAATATGTGCAAAATACTGGAAAAAATTATCAACCTTCATCGACTCTCATGGTACCTTGATACAATTAACAATTATCGATTCGAGTTTCGACCAAGACATTCTACGACCTCCCATATTATAACCATTGATACCTTCATTACAGAAGCATTTTCCAATAACCAACATGTACTAACCGTGGATTTAGATATCAAAAAAGTTTAAGACATGGTATGGAGGCATCGTATGCTTTTCGAACTGCAGGATATCGATATAAGAGGCAACACATAACTTCGAGCGATGCAAGTGAGGAGCAATGAGTACCTATCTGGGACTAAAAGTATAGAAAATGGAGTCCCACAAGGGTCCTTAATAAGCACACTGTGTTAATAACAATCAGTGATGCGGATAAAAACATATATTCTCCTGTAATGACAAGAAAATACGCTGACGACAGCACCATTCTATGAAAAGGAAGAAATATCAAGCCAAACTATCATGGAGCAATCATATTTTAAACACAATCACCGACTGTAAAGAGAGACTCGACATATTGAAATGTTTATCTCGAAACAATTGGGATGCTGATATACAATTACTATTCATAACAAATAATCCACTAGTTCGATCAAAAATTGATTATGGGACCACAATATACATATCAGAAAACAAAAAGTCTTTAAAAAATTATAATCTATACACAACCATGGACTGAAAACACGTACTGCCTGTTTTTACACCACTCTAATTAGCTGCATTCTTATGGAATCGAGAGAATCTACCCTATTTCACTGCAGATATGCTGCTGTTAAATATGCGCTCAATGATTTTACCTCCAACAACTCTATAATTTATCGTGATATATAATTCAGTGTACAAAACCCGCTCTATGTACTATGTACCACTGCTTGCTAAAATCAGAAAAATTCTTGAGGAACTAAAAATTATGTGCATAAAAACAAAAAAGAAAAGACAGTACAAAATCCCTCTCTGTATACTCCAGGATACTGTAGCAGATCTATCTTTAACAAAGCATCAAGGATGTCAACAAACAGAAGAATTCTGAGACCACAAATCCACCGAACGTAAAAATAAATACAACTACAATCATGTATAATCCAAAGAAACAAAGAATGATCAAGGAACCTGCGCCACTGCAATCTCAAGTGAATTAGTAGTCAAATATCAACTTCACCATTATGACAGCCAGGCAACAGCTGATCTTTGTTCCATAATGACCGCCTTAAAATTATTTCACAAATCCAGGATAACTATTTTTTATCCTATGTAGTTCGCTAAGTACATAGCATGATACAAACAAGAATACTACCAACTTTGAAAACCATCGTACATGAACTGTAAAATGATACGACAGCTTCAAGAAAGACTATCAGGCTGGTGTGGTACTTAGAGCAAATTAAATCTACCCAGGACGTAATAGAGAATCTGAACAGAATAACTACAAATTCTGAAGGCACCAATACAACATTAACAGCATCCCATACATTCGAAGATTTAGTAAAACACACTGGACATTACAGATTGATTTACGTTTACTGAAGAGATTTTAGGTGGGAGCGGCATCAACTGCAACTTACATTTTAACGTCATGCCAAATTGCAAAAGAAATAGAGTACCTCTTGAAATATGGACAAGTATCAAACGTAACGTTAACATTTCCGTGTCTTCGGAAGCAATCTGGTAGATATCTGCGACGCACGGATTCTGAGACGCGCGCAAATTGGCCGGGTGGTGTTTTTATTTCTGTCGCCAAGCTTTCAATACGTCGAAGGTCATCACGGTCCTGAACTTCTATAGCACA